TATGGGTTCAGTGGATTGTAGACTACCAATAATAAAAGACATATTAACAAGATTAATTTCATCAATACCATATATCGTGTCAAATTGTGATAATCAACTGCTGATAACTGCAATGTGTTTGTTAGCCTTTTACGCATTTTTAAGAGTGGGCGAGATTACTGTCAAGTCGTCATCGGAGTCCTCGGCCGTTTTGCAATTCGAAAATTTATCTTTTGAATGGGGTAACGCATCATTATTGGGAATGTCGATAATTCTTGTTCACTATAAGCATAGTGACCTACACCCTAAAACTATTTTTATCTCAAGGCAGTGTAATAACCAGGCTTGCCCAGTTTACGCACTTTACAAATACGTGAAGGCATTCTATCACTCTAAAGGTCCCTTGTTTCAATTTAAATGTGGAACTCCTTTTTATCGTTCTTTCTTTAACTCGGTTCTCGGATCAGCTGTTTCATTTATAGGTTTGGATAATAAATTTTACAAAGGTCATAGTTTTCGTATAGGAGCAGCCACGTCTGCTGCAGCAAGGGAAGTTCCGTTAAGTGTCATTCAGAATATGGGAAAATGGAAATCAGATGCATTTCTAAAGTACATTCGTATGCACAATTTTTGAAATTCCAAGTCATTTTTGAATTTCCCTGGTATGTGGGTTAGCATTGCCTGCCACCTGTGACCATAAATTGTTCACTGGGTCAGCACTGCCTGCCAGTTTTGACATTACGTATCTAATATGTTTTTGTTTTAAAGCTGGGTTAGCACTGCCTGCCAGCAACAACTTTCTTATACTACGTACATTATTAACTATATGAGAGGCTGGACCAGTATTGCCTGACAGCAGAGATTTTGTAGATATTTATGTACTCTTAGTTGGTCAGTATCGGTTTGCATCAACAATTTTGAACATTTGGAGATACGTTGATCTTTGTAACCTGGGACAGCATTGCCTGCCGGTGCAGTAAACTACATATATATAGTTGTTGGTGTGTGTACCTATTCAGTAGAATTAAAGATTGCCTCTAAATAATCATATTGATATGTTTCACGGGTTGTCTCCGATTAATCTTCATATATGCATTTTGAGCTGTAACGATTAATTAAGATAATGTTTAATTTGTTTAGCAAGGTATTAGCGCTGATATTATTCTGCATATCAATTTGTGTGTATATTTTTTCTTTTAGCTAGATTATTATTTTGATTTTATTTTATTTTAATATTTGTTTCTGACTTGTCATATCTAGCTGCCAGAGTCCTTGGGTGGGGGATCCCCTCTTTCATTGGTGATGGGTGTCAACATATTTATCCCCACCTTTGGAATCTGTGTCATTTATTCAATCATATCATATGATGTATTTTTCTAAATGCTTATTATATAATATTCAATATTATGAGAAATATACTTTTGTGAATAAGTGACCTTTTCACACAATATGGGTATTATGTCTAATTTTCGCAAAACAAGCTCGGACTCTGGCTGTATATAATTCATTAGTACTTAGTAGGCATAAATAATATTCTAAAAGCTCTTCGAAGAATCCACATCTGATCCTAATAATCTTTAGAAATGCTATAGCAGAGCAAGTCAAGTTTCTTAGTCCCATTCTTGTGTTCCACCAATTTCAAGTTGAATGCTACACCATCTATTTCCAACAAATATACATTGACTATTGCTTCCAAACTTTTCAATTACAAGAATACTTTACAGAGTTCATGCTCTTCTTTACCCTTCAACTTTAGTCCTGTTGGACACGTTATTTCTAGTAACGTAAATATAGTTTATAATGAGTAACTTAAATCATTAATTTTAAAAGGGACAAAATTTAATCATTTTACTGGCATCATAATTTCACAGATATAATGGATTCGGTTGAAGATTACGCCAGGCGATGGGAAAAACATGAAAAAGAAGACCTTGACCTGTTGTCAGAAAGGATATAATGTATCAGATGCATTTTTTAAAAATCTCTAATTAAATGATTCTTCAAAATTATATGTCAGTTTTGAATAATTTCAATATTCATATCAACCAGATTGAATTTTATTTACCATATATGTATTGGATTCCAAAACGTCATAAAAATGAAAAAAAAAATGTAAAAGAAGATCTTGACAGGTCAGAATGGATAAAATGTATCAGATGCATTTTTTTTAAATCTCGCATTGGATTCCAATAACGTCATAAAAATCGTAACAAAGAAATATAGCGGGTTCCAGTAAATGTTCTACCAAGTCTCTTTCTCTCCTCCTCACTAAAATATGAACAGTAGTGAAGGAGAAGCTTAAAGAGTACTGTGCAACAATATAGTTGAGAAGAGATGTAAATCAGATATGGATACTCACAAATTCCAAGGAACTTTTGAAATATGAAATCACAAAATTTTACCAAAATTAACAGCATTAAAACTTACCACTTTTCAACTTTATACACAAACATTCCCCACGATAAATTAAAGTATAGTAGGCTTTTTGATATCATTGACAGCTACCTTTTTCAATAAAAATGGAACTCGTAAATTTACTCACCTTGTCATTTGTCATTTGCAAAATTATTTTGTTGAAAAAAAATATTCTGATTTTACCCACAGGTACTCTTAAATAGATATTAAAAGATGTTTGAGTTTCTGATTAACAATATCTATAAGGTTTTGGAAGCCAGGTTTTCCAACAGTCTATGGAAATTCCAGTAGCAACTGCGCCCCGTTATCAGCAGACCTAATTTTGTATTCATAGGAGCAGAATTTTTCCAAAATCTTATACGTGAAAAGAAGAAAACACTTGCTGTGGCCTTCAACTCGACATTTAGATAAATCGATGACGTATTGTCAATTAACAATGTTATTTCCATTCTAATGTCAAAACAATATGTCCTGATAAGCTTGAAATAAAAGATATCACATCTTCTGATATATCTGTTTCATCTTTAGATATTTTACTTGAAAAAGACTTGAATGGTAATCTAACAACCAAGCTTTATGACAAACGATAAGGCTTTAACTTTTCAATCGTCAACTTATTTACTTTTGCAGCAATATACTTCATAACCTCCATACGGGGTTAAAATCTCTCAGTTGATTCGATATGCAAGAACATGCTCTATGTATGAATAAATTTTCAAATGAGGTAAGTTATTGACAATCAAGTTGATGAAATAAGAATGTCAGCAGTCTTGTTAAAAGTCATCATTTTGTAAATGTTATGGTCGATACAATGACTTTGCCAGCAAATGCAATATATCATTACGTCAGATGCTGACTGACGTTTTTCATACGAATTGTTAGGCCGTTACATACACACTGAATTGTCCATGGATTTTCCTGCTATTTCCCGAACATGACAAGGAACACAAGGTGGGTGTGATCGGTCGGCAAGGGAAGCTCACTCCTCCATGGTACCTGATCCCACCTCTGATGTTTTGGAGGTCTTTGTTTGCTCTGCTCCTATTTTGTATTGTTTAATGATTTTTTTAGCTTGAATACTGTTTGCTATCTCCATATATTTTATTTCTCCTTTACAGCAAATATTATTTTTGTTAGTAGTAAAGAAAAGAGCTTGGTAGAACATGTGCTGAACCATGCAATGTATACTTCTTGTAAGAAATTTTAAGAAGTTTAGGAATTCGTTTATAGGATTGATAGATCGAGCTCATCTTGTTTGACTGGAGTGTTAAAAGTGTTACTCACCGATATGTGAATCTGAAGAATTTCATCGTAATTAAGCGAAATGTGACCATATGTAGATCTTCTAGAGGTAGAATTAAATAAAAGTTCAGATACAAGCCTTATATGTGCCATCAAAGGCGATTTTATCACAAAACCCTGTCAAATTGGAACCAAAACATATTGTTCATATATTTCACTAATTCTATTATCACATACGTTTTAGTTAAACCGAAGAATGGATGTTTGGCAGTTTTTCCAGTTAAATGTAATTTGTAATTATTTGATTCTTTAACAAATTTCTTAAACCCTTACTCCAATACACAATGTATTCATGTCTTCCTTTTTATATTTCGTTTAACTTAAGGCATAATCTTCGACAGAATTCATAATTTAAAAAAGTTCAGTCTCAAATTTAAATGTCGAAGCTCCCTGAATTTAGTATCTTTTAATATGATAGCTATTAGGTCTTTATATAATTATTTTCAGTAATATTGACTTCACTAATAATGCCATGTCCTGTAGGTCTGTATTTGTAAGAAGGATATGATCAAAAGCAATTCCATCAGAGGAAAGTTTAGAAGCAACGGTTTAACAATAATTTCGGAAATGCAGAGTGTACATTGCAACTTGAAATATGGAGGAACTCATGATTAAGAATCTGAATTATGTTCACATCATCTATGTCTTTGTTTTCCAGGAACCGAAGAGTGGAATAAATTCCGACAAAAGATGTCGTAAAATATATGTGCTGGGCAACATTTATGACTACTCAGTTGTTGAAGAATTCAAACATGAATTTCAACAATGGATCACGGACTTGCTTTAACATTTTCATATTGTCCATTTAAAAAATTTCAAGGAAATCGAAGAAAGTTCAGTGCAAATTTTTAACATAATTGTTTATTTACTTTAAGGCAAAAATGAATCTAAAGAGACATCATGTGTATTTGGTCTTTCGTATGATTGATGTCCATGACTACATCTCGGTGTAACTGGGTTTTTTTTTAAAAATCCCATCGCATTTACTTTTGCACATTGTGGGCTAAAGAGATTCTTTACATTTTTGCGTACGTTGCAAACATGGTTTAAATCAGTCATGAATGTAAATATAAGTAAAAAGGGATCGTTTTTACACATTTATCTCATTTGATATGAATAGAGATTTACAATCCATACATGTATTTACATCAAGAAAAGTCTTAAAATGTTAACTTATTTATAACCAAAACATGCCGACTTGAAAGAATTTCAATGTGACGTTTAGTAAAAAAAAGTTTTGACAGAAAGGTCCATGAACCATCAACTCTCATATTCATAAGTTTGAACAGAAAAATATACTTCATTTCGATTACTCTTAATCCCTTTTATGCAAAGAAATTATAAATTATGGATCTACCCACGCCACCGAACTCATACATCAGTTATTTCGGATTCACTACATCGGCATTGTTTTCTTTTAGGTCGAGACCTAAGAATCGAAATTAATATTAAAACAATTAAAGCCAAAATAACTGTAGGAAGAAAAGCTGAAATAAATATGGCAGTCATTGATACCCAGTTACTGGACAACTGTTTATTAGGTGACGTCAGCGGTGTACTCGTTGAGTTGACTCGGTTTCTTCTTGTGTCATTTTCACATTTTAAATCACTCATTGCAGTTTCAAAGTTTATGTTTCCACCTTCAGAAAGATTGCTGCATTTTAGATCATAACCATGATTCAAATGCTCCAAGACTGAATCTTCTTCTGAATTCAATTTCAACCATTTCAAAAACCACTGCATGCTACAGTTGCATTCTATTCGGTTAAGGGAGATGTCAATGACTTTTAAAGATTTCAGATTTTTTACCATAAGTTCATCCAGCTTATTCAGCCGATTGTTTTTCAAGTTTAGAATTTCAAGAGAATCCTCTAGACCAGAAAATGTGTCTGGAAAAAGTTCATAAATATGATTGTGGTGCAATGATACGTGAGTTAGCTTCGTCTGACGGAATCCTCCTGGTATTAGCACGGACAACCCCGAATGAGCCGCGTGAAGATGCTTCAGATACGGCACCCTCTGTAGCAACTGCCAAAAATTTGAGTCTCTTAATCTTGTATGAGAAAGAATAATCTTCTTGATACTAAGTTTTACGCTGTTATCATGAGCGTTTGTAAAATCCATTTGTTGTTTTCCAGTTTCTTGATGTTGCAAATTAAGAACACTCAAAGATTTAGTCCAGATAAATGCTTTGATATCTACGGAGTGTAAAGAATTGCGACTCAGATCAAGTTTTTGTAGGTGATGGAGATGTTGAAAATTTGACGCACTGATACTTTGTAAACCATTGGAAGATAAATCTAAATGTAACAGCTTTTCCATTTTCTTAAAAATGGCTTCTTCGAGATGGTCTATGGAATTATATGAAAGATTCAGATATTGTAGCGCTATCCATTGTGTCCTCGAAAATTCTTGCAATATGCTACGTGAAGTAAGTTTGTTTCTGGAAAGATTGAGTTGCCTTATGTGGTCCGTTACTCCAGAGAAACTATGTGTTTCTATTTTGTTGAGTTCATTTTCAGAAATGTCTAAATCTTCCAGATGAGCAAGATCTCGGAACGCATGCGCAGGTATAACAGTCATCCCATTTCCGGTCCAAACTAGCTTTTGAACGTAAAAGAGATTTCTCATCGCACCGACTGGAAACGTGCTCACTTTCGGATTGTCGCAAAATTGAAATTCCGTTAATCTATTAGCGTTGCTATCAAATGTGTAGGAGGAAAAGAAAGTGGTTCCGGTATTCATAAGTGATAAATGTTTTAAGTTTGGAAGGAGGAGAAAAGATACAGAATTGTCGATGTAATGAAGAGCAAAGTTCACCAAGATAAGTATCCGCAAGGATTTGAGGCTGTGCAGGGAATGAAATGGAATAAAAGCTTTCCCGTCACCTTCCAAGTAAATGTATATTAGATCGAACTTTAAACCGGCAAATGTACGTGAATGAATGCTCTGGATTTTATTGCCTCCTAGGTCTAGTCGCTTTGTTCGCAGTCCTCGTAAATCTCCTTCGGATAATTCTGATAAATTTGAATTTCTAAAAGTTATTTCATAGAAAAGTTCGTTCGTTGTTAGAGCATGCGCAGTGTGTAAAATCTTCGAAATGTTTCTGCAATCTAGTATTCTCGATGATGGTTCTGGAGACGCAGGGTAACAGAGGCAATCCTGGATAGGACATGGACGGGCAAGACATTCCAGATGGCCAACGAAAACAAAGAAGAGCACCTATTAATTTTAAAATTTGAAATGAATATCAAAAATTCAGAAGATATTAGATATGGTAAAGATTTTTATACTGTTTATCAATAATTAACAATCTGTTGTAATCTCGTCATATACATGCTGGTTGAGGCTATGGTCATTCCTGCAATTTGCTTTTACATGCATGAATACACATGTCAGTTATGTATGTAACAGTAAAATTAAACCGCTCTTTACTCTTGTAAAAACACTATATAGCTAGTATTTAGGATCTTCTAAACAGGAAAATGATTATTTATTCAATTGAAAAGAATCTTTAGAGCATAATTTCTCTTCTTAACGTTTGATCAAGGTGGATAACCAAGCGAGATACATGTATCTTAAAAATTCTATTTTGTTTTGCTCTAGATATGGCTTAGAGCAGAACTTGTAAAATGTTTCAATCTCTAATAGTTCTCAAAGAATTTCTTTGTTTCCTAATTCTCACTTAAAAATATTTTCCTTGTTTTAATTTGCCGTAAAGAACGCATCCAGTTCGGAAGGAACTGACCATTGCAGGTTTGATCATGTTTATGATTTTTTGTTAAACTGAGATATATTTAAATTTGTTTTAATATGTTTAAATTTAAACTTTGTATTTTTAACCATATCGTACACGCAGGCTCGAACACGGATGCACTTAACACTCGAGATAAAGAATCCACTAATACAGGAACTGTGTATTTATTAATATAAATATGGTCTGATCTGACATTTCAATTCGCTATTTGCTTGTATGCATTTACTCTTTGAATGGATGAGATCTAAATATATTGAAATTGAAAAAGAAAATAATTTAAATTTTGGAGTGGGTTTAAAAGTATAAATTCATGTAGTGGGAAAATGGTAATTTGAGCGGCTTAGTCATTTCTATGACAAAGTTGCTTAAAATTTAAAGAATTTAAAGAATCTATTGGAAGGTTTTGATTTGCCTTTCAACTATTTATTCCTAGGTTTTATTTTCAAGGCTCTAGAAATAATTAAACATTGAAACGAATTAGGATTATCTACCTGATCCAAATAAAATTTTACAGTTATGGATAAGTCGCGCATTGGAGGATTGATTGTTCTAGAGTCGCGGGGTAGAAGTCGATCCTTGCGTGTACGTCGCGAATTGAATTTGTATGTGTTTGTGTTTATATGTTTAAATTCCCTTCGAAAATTTATCACTCATATTGAGATGCCACCACATACCGGTGGAAGACTTCAAATTATAAGACTTGTACATGGCACTCACGGCCTTTGGGTAGAAAAGAAAAATAAACACAAAACTCGCTTAAATTAAGGAAAATATCACATGGTATATTGATTGTTAATGGTTTTTTGTCTCATTTAAGGTTTTGTACAATGATCAAAATATATCCCAGTGTAAGGTTAAGTAAAAAAAAAAATTAGACCTATACTGGGCCCACGAGAAATGAGGATATTTTATCGTGTCAACGCCTTGGACTGTGTCAAGGGGCTTCGGTTTTAAATGTTTCAAGCTTCTTTGAAAAGAAACAGCAGCCACCTATGTATTTTTTAATCGATTTACGTCAGTTTTGGCCGGAATTTGAACCCACGAACGACTTTCCGATGGAAGAGAGTGAGCAGTCTTCGAATACCACGTCACGTTCAAAATAAGGAAATATTTTTTTTCCCACTGGTTGGCTATCTGAGCTCCATCATTAAGCTACAATTTGCCACGTAAATGTAGACTTGGAATTTGCTGCCGTGTTAATTAACGAGTGAAAATTGAGGGGTCTGTTTTAAACATAACGTCTAAGTCAGACTCTAATTAAAAAGATTTTCTTCCGTTGTTTCGAAAATCTACAACTCTTACGCAATACTATAGTATCCTTGAGATATATGAAATCATATTTATTTACGATAGCAAGCTTTAAAAATTCTCATTATCATGAAAAATTAGAAACAATGAAATATAATTAATATAGTACATATATAAATAATTTGGAATAGCATATTATATTCTTTTTTCCCATTAAAATACAAAAAATCCTACCTTGAAATTCATTGCAAAGTTTGTGGTTGTCAAATTTCATATTATTGGTCAATTAATCGGAGTTGTATATTTATTATGTATATACAAGGTATTTCAAATTGTTGTTGACTTGCGGCATGTCATAAAAATGTAAGCAGTGAATAAAATGTTCTGGGATAAATTTCGCACTATTAAAACGTTTACAAACAATTCAGTTGGTCGGTGAAGATTTTAGATTCAGGCGATTCTAGATTTAGACTATGGATTCAAGATTTAGATTATTAATTACCCTGTTAATTGATTTGTTTCTAAATGGTAATAAAAATGAAATAAATTTGTTATTGTTAATGTTTCGTTAAGAATGTACCCACTCGAGCATGTCTTATACATGTGCTAGTAATAAGTACAAGTATACTTGTATGTTTTCGCTTTTTATAGAACATTATATGATTATTGCTGTTTTACACAAGTATTGCTGCTTCATACAATTATTGCTGATTTTCATTCAATATGATAATTAATCGACCTGACGAATACAATATTATATTCGAAGGTGACCTTATCATTATTTCTCTGCAAAAGAGCTGGCTGAAATTAATTCTACAATTAACGCCACAAAATAGAATTCAAAACCTACACGAGGGAGGGAGACAAAAAATTAAACAAAAATATAAAATCAATAAATATGTACTTATTTACAAATTATTGATCAAATTACTGCGAATATTTTTGCATCATATAAACTCATTGTTTAATCATTATTATTTTTGGTAAATCTGTCGGTTAAATTAATAACTCCCACCTCACGATGGGCGCCCACATTGTCTTATTTAATTATTGAATGCAGTTTTTATTTGCTAAAAGTAAAAGATAAGCTAGAATAAGAACTTTCAAAATTAACAAATTTTTTTTTTTTGCTTATTATTGTTGATTTATACAAAATTACAATATATCACAAACCTTGGAGAGCGAATGACGTTAAATATAAAATTAAACTTTGGCAGCCTTACATGAATTAATGATTAAAATATACAAACTCAGTAAGCAATCCTTGCTATCTTTCTTAATTGTTTATTTTTGTTTAATTCCTAGCCAGAAACGTCCCTTTCGCGAATGTTTCACTCATTTGGAGCCACCACCAATTGCTGGTGAAGGGCTACTAATTTACACCTATTCCTAGCACTCAAGGCCATGAACAGTAAGGCAAGATGAAAACAACCAATGCGAGAGTAGACCTCGATATATACTGTTTCGTCCGAAGGACCAGTCTCCAGGTCCCGGAGTGGATTTGAACCCGCGATGTAAGGATCAGTTCCTTACTCTGCGACTCTAGACAGACGCTCTAACCACTGCACCAAGCGGGCGATTGCTGGCTTTGTGTTTCCTTCAATGACGTCGCCAAACGCGTTAGCTGCGCACGGAGAAGTAATAATTTTTTTTTTTGAAAATGTGGCTTGTTTACTTCAGAGAAAAAAAAATATAAACAAAAGAGACATACATGTATTCACAGTAACCCACTAGAATGTTAGGAGAGAAGTTGTAAAGATTCTCCCCCGCAGCAGATTACTGTTTGTTAGACGGTTAGGAACGTCACGAGTTTAAAAGATTGGCGTCAATCTGTGAGTATTCTCTGCTTCCTAAAATGTAAGACGATCTTTCCAGGACTGAAATTTAATCTGATTAAAATAAAAGTATGGATAGTGGTGAATTTAAGGTGTCGATCTCTCAGTCAAAAGTGGTTTGCCAGGTTCAAATATCAGTGAGATGCGTAAGAGAAGCGTTTTAAGCACAAGAGAAGCGTTTTAAGCACACTAGGCAGTACTCTAAAAATGACGTTATAAAAGACGTATCGTTTACATGTGGTTTCTTGGGCCAAAGTATACATATACATTTTCTTCATTTTTACACTTTTTTCTTAATAAATTTGAAATGATCATGAAACTTGTAATTCATCATTATCATTAAATACTGTTTTTATTTGTTATTATGACAAGAGAAGAAATTTAATTTAGCAAATAGAAACGAAACTGTTTTCCCGGTCTACGACTTTTCGGAACAATTCTGTTAGAAATGTAAATCAGTACAATGAGTACATAGAGTTGGGCATACAAGTTCATGTTTATTTTGCGTTTTTATCGAATTGTTTGAATTGATTATATAACGGATATGAGATTTAGAGATAATTTATGAGAGAAAAAATTCGAAAAACTCCTTAGATCTATATATAGGAGGGAAGATACCAGTATACTCAATCACCTGTGACCTGTATTAATTTTCTGTCCAAAAGAGCTATACAAATCTGAAACATGCATCCGAATTCTGCGACCCAAAGAGCTACAGTATTGCAAGTGGGAGAAATGATGTGATACCGTAGTAAACTTTTGTTGCTTTAATCTACCTGTGTCCGTAAGTCACCAAAGTGTCTTTTTTCACCTCACTTCTGTGAGAACGTAAAATCTACATGTTCGAGGAAAAAGTTACTTTTCAAATAGGAATGAAATGGTAATGTTAATGAATCACTAATTTAGCATGTATTGGATTAAATCTGTTGACGTATTCATCTCTGCCGACAAATGGGGACGGAGTAATAAAAGGGAAATAGTCTGGTCAAGCTTCCGGGTAGAGATTCAGAATTGTTACGTCATCAAGGAAATAGAAATCTAATCACTTGTCTTATCACACCGCTTCATTACGTATGTATTCGGCTCAGTAATATGTAAGCATTATGTCATAAAAAGGCTTTTATTGTGTATTGCCTTCAATATATAATTATATCTGTGTATCAAAATATTGGGTAATATTTGTCATTTTATTGCGATAATAAAAAGAAATATCCGAGTGTTATGATGTAATTTGCTTTGTTCACTACGTATTTCAAAATTTTATATATAGTTTTCTTCAATATGATCTTATTGTATTTCATTTTTATATAAGGAAAATAGCGAGAAACGTATCAAAATTTGTTGTGCTTAAAAACATAAATTGCTTAACCCCAAAAAGCCATGATTGCAGACTTCAAAATTATGAAATTAGAAATGATTTATAATGTTTTTCTAAGAGAGGAACACTTCATACACTTTGCATATAAAATGATCGATGTGAATAGAAGGAACGTTTAAGTATAAAAAGCATGCAAATATCTTCAAAAGCCTGGATACATATATCTATGGGTTTTTTTCACGAAAATATATTTGTTGATCAAGACATAAGTAGGAGTTATTATTCGCAATAATTATTCCTGAAAAGTTATTTGAGATTTACAAATTTTTCCCTACATAATATGAAAAACTTAAAAGATGAAGTTTGAAGACTTGCCGTTGGTAAATACAGAATACTTTGAGAATTCAGAGACATTTCTGTAAGCATTTTCAGTTCCTTATCAGATCATTGCTTGATCCTGAGGATCCGACTACCTTAAATGTTGCAAAGAGTGGAATTAAACATTTATACATGCTTTATTTCTAGCACTTATCGTTGAGCCACATGCACATGCGTTTTATTCATTTCTTTTCCTTAAAAAAATTTCTACACGTATAAAGAAAAATGTTAATAACTTTAAGCACACGTGGTTTGGATGTCTTGTTTTAAAAGACTGCCTTGTACATGTATATCAGGCATGTCTAAGGACTACAAATACTAGTACCATTAAAATCTTTTAAGAAATTGATCTCAAATCCCCTTTTTTAACCTTAGCAAGACGTAATGCCTCCCATTGAGAAGCGCACGTCACATAAGTGTTTTTGAAGAAAAAACAACTTACGACTCTTGAAGTGATGTTAAGTGTAGCTTTAAGAGGAGGAAGGAATCAGAAAATCTGACGAAATCAATAACAATTGTTTATCATTTCTCTGTTTAATCAGGTTTGTTTGTTTGTGTGTTATTTTGTTGGGCTTTTTTTTACATGAATTAACATATTTCTAAAATAAAAAATAAATTCTATTTTTTTAATTATAATAATATTAAATGAGCTTGATGCATGCAGTCTCGTTAAAATATTTTAGCAAGGAAACATGGGAAAAACATCTACAAATCGATGATAAATTTTGGCCAAAAGACGTTTTTCTATTTTCCACCTATCAAAGGCGGATCCAGGGCTGACGCGCCAGGCATGCCCCACCCCAACCCCCATTTCAAACTTTTGTACGTAAAATTTATATGTCCATTATCCTAATGGGGGCTTCGCCCCCGGATCCCCAAAAAGACCTTGCCTTAGACCCACTTGGGGCTTTAGTGCAGCCGACAGACCCCCCCCCCCGCCTTCCACTGCGCCCACCTGTTACGAATTTCCTGGATCTGCCACTGCCTGTTGCTGGTCTTTCTGTTTGACCTTAACCAATCGACCTTGAATCACGATTATGACATGTGATGTAATATAATAATATTTCAACACTGAACTGCCAAATGAACTTCAAATTAAAGAGCAAAAACATACACTGTATCATCTTAAATTGCATCTATAATAGATCACAAGCAACGACGTTTAAGTAAGAAAGAAATTGATTTAGTCGCTGAATTTCAAAGAAAGTGATGAAATTTTATGACAGACAGACAAACAATATTCCATGGAAGACATAACAGGTAGAAAAGAAACAGTAAACTTGAATGTTGGGCCCGATGCACCTGCTATATATGTTAAGGTCGTTGTGTAATAGTTTGCTTGAATACGGTCATGTTCTCCCGACATCCTTGGCAATTAATCAAATAACAACTCGTGCTGAACACAATGTTCAATTTTTCCTCTGTTTCAAATTTAGATACCAACTGAAATTGAAAGCTAACCACGCCATAAAGGGAAGGGTGCAGAACAACAAGATATTGTTTTAGCCACAATGTTCCTATAGTAGCTGATGCTAATTGTAAGATCCCTTGAAAAGAGATTTCAATTAATGTTTAGATATTTTTTGTAGTTAGTTTTGATTTATTTTGCTGAAGTTAGTTTTGATTTATTTTGTTTAAAACAAATTTTATATTAAGGGTTTAAGTGTTCTAATTTTGGGGGGGGGGGGGTTGGGGTTGGGGTTGGGGGAGGGGGTTAGAGAATTTCGGAGGGGAGATAGAATGAGAATCATGTAATTACAATCATAATGTGCTACACGTGTAAGAGGATGACAAGTTTATGCAAGAGGAAATTATGTCAGCTTGAGACATCGCTAAGATACTGTCACATTTTTTAACCTTGTATACAACGCTAGGTTTTTCCAAGCACGGTGTGATTCATTTAACGATCTTACTTTTTTTGATATATCATCAGTTCCCCTTTTTATCTCATAAGTCTGCTAAAATTAAAATTGCACCCGATGGTCACACTAACAGTACATTTAGGCACAAAAAGTATGTTCAATGATATTTCTGACAAAATAAAACGGAGTTCAATACTTGTGGCACCTAAAAAAGTAAACCGGAATAAAAACGCCGATATATATTATTTTTTCAGAATATAACCTTGAGCAAAAATGTCCATCAGTTTATAAAAATAGCATACAATTATAACATTTTAACAAAAGTTAAGACAATGATTCTAAACGGGGGGGGGGGGGGGGTGTGAAATTTTTCGGCTTTAAGAAAAGGGGGAGGAGCATTTAAGCTCTTGCAAAAAAAGCTCCCATCTCTCCATATTATGCACATACTCAGTGGCAAACGCGCTAATTTCAATAAAATTTACTATTTCCTTCAATTTATTTCCCGCTGTCAGACATCGGAAATACAAACATGTCCCCATTCAACATGAAAATCTTGGCTTTTAATTATGATACAACTCATGGCGCACTGCAGTTATTAATTAAGTAAGGGTTTGTGTTAGACTTCCACATATACGATTGTCTTAGGAACCGGGGGGATAATTTTGTCGATATATAGAATACTAGAGAAAACATACAGTAGGCTCTCTCATATCCCTGTGTCCGGCCCCTCAGATGCCCCCACCTTTTTAGTAGTTTATAGTGCCTCCCAACTGAAAACGTACGGCTGTGCCCCTCCCCAACTGAAATTGCTTCCTTCGGCCTTTATACTCTATACAGCCTCCTTTTGAAACAAAACAAGGTAATTCAGAGAATTTGTGTCCCCCGCTTAGGGAAAAAGTAACCATGCGCAGTTCGGGGGGAGGGGGGTGTCGGATCCCCATGACTGAATTTGTAGAATTATTAAATGTATACATGTATAGTGAAGCAAATAAAATATGCCAATATGGATATTAAGAATTGATTGCTTATTCTTTATTATGTGGATAGAAGATTCTTTTTATATGGAATATTTATCACAGTGTAATGATTTGTACAATTAAGACCTCATAAATTTTTCATTTCACATTCTGAATACTATCATTTAGTAAAAAAAAAAAAAAAGTATTTCGGAAAAAAAAGAAAATGGATCGGTAGGGACTCGAACCCGAGACCTCTCACGTGGGAAGCGAGAGACATACCACTAGACCACGAAACCGCTTTAACCTATCATATATTATATGCAAATATGAAGTCACATACATGTATATATTCATGTTCGATGTTGTCAAAATTTTTCACATTGCACAGTGTCTAATTTAGCCTTTATTAAACAGTTCTAATAGATGTAATAAGAATATAAAGTCCGCCAAGAACCTGTTTTATACGTAATAACTCTCCTCATGCCCCTGTGCTAAAAATAGCGACATATAATACAATCAATACTAATAAAACAAACGGGGCGGGACACTTTGAGAGGGGTGAGAGAGGTCCCAGAGAGTTTTGGTATAAAATTACATTGCAAAAGCTCAAAATTTTCTTGAAATATCGAAAAACGATAGTATTACATATAGACAGAATGTGAAAATTTACGACCTTGAACTTTGACATTTTTGACCTCAAAATCAATAGGGGTCTTCCTTAGGCCACAGGGAATTATTATGTAAAATGTCATTGCAAAAGTTCAAATGGTTCTCGATATATCGCGCGGAAACGAAAGTGTTATAACAGACAGAATTTGCGAATTTATGACCTTGAACTTTGACCTTTTGACCTCAAAATCAATAGGGTTCTTCTCTAAGCCATGGGGAGTTGCTGTGCAAAATTTTATTGCGAAAGCTCAAAGCGTTCTCGAGATATGTGGAAACGAACGCGTTACAGACAGACAGAAAGACGGACGGACAGCTAGACGGACAGACGGACAGGCCCAAATTAATATCCCCCACTTTTCAAGCGGGGGACAAAAAATAAGTATTGTTAGTAGGTGCTTAGAGTCGGTACAAGCAAAAAAATTCAAAGCAATGAGTAAAGTGAGTACTTGATGATTGTGGACTCTCAAAAGATATCTTAGTGCTGTATGACATAAGCAGGAAACTTTTTTGTAAATATTTCAAAATATTTATTGAATTCAATATCACGTACTGGGTGGAGTTATTTGCGATCATCCTATAAAAAAAGAAAGGAAAAAAAACAGCAACGCATGACTCTTGATGTGTATACAGATGTACTTACATGACTTATATAATTATAATATTTACAACGGTCGTTAGTCCTGGTTTCCATACTGCCTCAGTGTCATAGCGATAAGTACACATCCGTACAAACCTCTCAAGTCCCCGCATCATGTGCCTGAACATGATTCAGAGCTCTGAACAGCCTTGACAGAGAGGGACAAATTGTCAGCGAACACCAGAGGGTGAAACCTGTCGGTAAGTAATTCAGTAAATTACAAGGGTGGGGGGGGGGGGAGAGGGGGGTAAGGCCTTTATAAATCAGTTTTAGCATCATTCAAAAATGATTTCCTTTTTTTAATAAAGAAAATCATTTGTGGATGCCTTTTATTAGTTAAATCATAATTCTTTGCTTGCACATTTAAAGAAAACGCACGTGCTGCGTGTAATTATATGTATAACATATATAAATACTTAGTAACTTATTACACTTTATTCCTAAGCAAAGCAAAAGCAATTCATTTCTCCAAGCGCTGTAAATTACAGTCATGACACGTGTCTATTGTATAGGTATATTATATTATAATTTTATATGACGAGAGCTACAACTTTTAATGCACGGTTGATTCTAAAGTGATCCAACAAATATGTCGTCATACGCTCACTTAATGTTGAAAGATATGCAGGCATACACGTGGAAAGGAATTTTCTTCACTTGGACGCAATTTCTTCTGCTACGCAAAGATATTAATATATGGTTTTCCATCGAAGCCATTTTAGCAAGAGTTAATTCCCCATGGCCACCATATTGTAACCCATTTTCCTTCATTTAATCAACCAAACTAAACTCGTTATATGGAGCACTGAGATGACACTGTTTTCTTATGAATAGATTTCCCCCTTCTTATTCTGCCACAAAAGTTTAAAATTGGTTGCTCAATTAAAAGGAAAATCCATCCCTTTGACTTAAAAGATGCGGCCAAGGGAAATAACTCCGAGGCAAAATATGTCATTGGAAAACCATCATGTTTCAATTTCCTACCATATACCATTGAGCCCAGCATATTGTAAAACACGTACTACATTGTATGTTTCGCATTTGGTAGCCCGAATTTTGCTTGGTCAGACGCATATTCATTTAAGGTTTTTGACGAATGCTGATAATTTCAGACATATTTTTGGGCTACCTTTTATAATTATGTCAGCACAGGTTGTTTTCACCGTATGATTGATCAATTCATTGTAAACTTAGAATTGTTATCAATTACATTCATAAAAAGATATTAGCTAATAAATTATGCACACAGTAACTTTTTTCGAGTACATGTACGTGTAGTATATAATTTTATATTAATATGTTTATAAAATCCGAAAAAATATAAATATAAAACAATGTACATGTATTTGAAAGAAAAATTATACTGTTTATGAAAATAAATATGTATATTAGTTTTTACTGAAAACTAATAAAAAACATAGTGTTAATAAAATTGATGAATGTACATGTACTAAAAATGAGTTTAAAAGCGAATCATAAAATACCGTAAAGTATGGTGGCATATTTCTGCCCCTTGTGTGCAAGTTATTTTTCTATCAAATATGTCGACATGCAAGATAAATATGTTGACATGCAACATAGCTACGTCAACATGCAACATAAATTCATATGTTGACATGCAAGAAAATTGCAATGAAATAAAAATTATAAAACAATCTTCAAAAATCTCAAATATTGCCCACATGTGACATCCAACATACTAAATGCTATTTATTTATGTTAACATGCAAGATAAATATGTTGACATGTAACGTAGATATGTTAACATGCAACTTATTTATGTTGACATGCAACTTATTTATGTGGACATGCAACTTAGATATGTAAACATGCAACTTATTTATGTCGACATGCAACTTATTTATGTCGACATGCAACTTGGTTATGTTGACATGCGAAATAAATATGTTGACATGCAACTTATAAGTTGCATGTTGACATAAATATGTCGCATGTTGACATAAATAGTTGCATGTTGACATATTTATCTTGTTTGTCAACGCTAAGTTGCATGTCAACATAAATAAGTTGCATGTCAACATAAATAAGTTGCATGTCAACATAACCAAGTTGCATGTCGACATAAATAAGTTGCAAGTCGACATAAATAAGTTGCATGTCAACATAAATAAGTTGCATGTCAACATAAATAAGTTGCATTTTACTATGGTGGCATATTTCTGCCCCTTGTGTGCAAGTTATTTTTCTATCAAATATGTCGACATGCAAGATAAATATGTTGACATTTTTTATCTCAACATGCAACATAAATATGTTGACATGTATGAAAATTGCAATCAGATAAATATTATAAAAAATCTCAAATATCGCCCACATGTGACATCCAACATGCTAGATGCTTCTTATTTATGTTAGCGTGCAAGATAAATATGTTGACATGCAACTTATTTATGTTGACATGCAACTTATTTATGTCGACTTGCAACTTATTTATGTCGACATGCAACTTGGTTATGTTGACATGCAACTTATTTACGTTAACATGCAACTTATTTATGTTGACATGCAACTTAGTCATGTTGACAAACAAGATAAATATGTCAACTTATTTATGTCAACATGCGACATATTTATGTCAACATGCAACTTATAAGTTGCATGTCAACATATTTATTTCGCATGTCAACATAACCAAGTTGCATGTCGACATAAATAAGTTGCATGTCGACATAAATAAGTTGCATGTTTACATATCTAAGTTGCATGTCCACATAAATAAGTTGCATGTCAACATTTTTAAGTTGCATGTTAACATATTACGTTACATGTCACATATTTATCTTGCATGTTAACATAAATAAATAGCATTTAGTATGTTGGATGTCACATGTGGGCAATATTTGAGATTTTTGAAGATTGTTTTATAATTTTTATTTCATTGCAATTTTCTTGCATGTCAACAATATGTAGCTATGTTGCAAAATATTTATGCATGTCGACATATTTGATAGAAAAATAACTTGCACACAAGGGGCAGAAATAAGACCGCGGAACATTAACTGGCAAAATTGGAAATATACAGCGTACGTCATTTCTATCTGTTACAATCAAAACATTCAGTGATAGACAACGAAATGGGCGGGTACAATTCGACGCGGACGTTTGGAAAACATCGGATTGAAATAGCAGATCGAAATTCATTTTCAATCCACCTGAGCTGTTTTCAAAGCAAAGAGTGAATGTATGATCCAAAAATCAACTATATTTCAACTCCCAAATACATATTGTTTGAAGTTCACATTAAAACGCGAAATATCATACAAGACAAAGATTATTTTTCAGGAGATATTTGATTCTAGAAGGGGGGGGGGGGTAAAAAATTGTCGAGTCAGGTCATGGCTTAACAGACAATATATTTTATTTCTAGGATTATAAGAGTGCATGAGTTTTATACTTATTCTCACTGAAAACTGTTGGACTTTATTTAAAAATCGTTCAACCCTCCCCCCCCCCCCCCCCCCCCCCCAACCACCAACACAAAGATATACATATATTTACCAAACAGAAATGAAATATTTCTCCCTTAAATATTTATTCATTTAAAACACTGGACAAAAAAATTCAAACTGTACCAAAATTGAAATTATTTGTCTTCTGGGTCAATCAGTAATAATATGCCTTCTTAGCTGAGGTGGATTGAAAATGAATTTCGATCTGCAATTTCAATCAGATGTTTTCCAAATGTCCGCGTCGAATTGTAACCGCCCATTTCATTGTCTATCACTGAATGTTTTGATTGTAACAGATAGAAATGACGTAAGGTGTATATTTCCAAATTTGCCAGTTAATGTTCCGCGGTCTTATGCCACCATAGGTTTCTACTTCGGAAAAAAAAAAATTATTTCTTGATAAATGGCACGAGAAAATATAACAGATGTTCTTTTTGCTTGTATAAACTTATATAAACTATATATAAACTTAAATAAAGTCTGTTTGTTTTAATTATTCGATAATTGTTTTAATTTTTGAATCTTTTCAAGCGACTATCAATGCTTTTGTTTTCAATAATAAATTGTTTTTGTACAAAAGGAACTAGCGAATTTAATTCTTTCATTTGCTGAGTGAAGATCTCTTCCTTTTCATAATTGGCAATGACAAAATTTCCTTATTTATTCAAAAAGTTTGAAATTTCATAATATATAAAAATAGTTGGAATAATAATTTCGGGACAGTATACAAACTACATATATGATCCAAGCTTTAATTGTACAGTAAACGCATAGCAACTTTTTAAACTCTGTTACATACATGTATTGTGACACACATGGTACTATTTCCGTCCAATATGACAACGCACGATGAAAAGTAAAATGGCTAGTAATTATGTCAATTATAGAAAATATAGGTCAACATAATCATGTCATTCAAAATGTACTCAATGCTTGGGTGTAGCTCAATTGTTGCTTTTATGTTTTCTACTTTAAAGCTGCATGGAATCCCCATCATAATGAAATCAGAAGTGGTCGTACTGAGTTGACCCGGAAAATTGCTGAAAAATAAATAATAACATAAAAAAACATCATTAAACCGATCATCTGTAATATTCATGATGGTTCTTAATCGCACAATTTCACACCGACAAAAGTAGGGACTGATTCTAAGCTGAATGATAATTTATGTAATTGCCACAAATAAAAGCTACAAAAATACGTAAAACAAGTGAAATTGGAAAAAGTCATTTTCTTAATCTGTTTATTTACTTTTTTCCAAATGTGCAATAAGAAAGTCAAAGCAATATATTCAAAATTCGGAAAAATAAATTGAAATGTATATAATTTATCTAAATTCACTGAGTATTGTCAGGCCATCTTTATTTCTTGTAAAAGCCACTTTCGTTTATCACTTAGAAAGCAGCTGCCCTTCCACCAATAAAACACACACTGATGAAACATATCAATAATAAATATTTAATATCCTTAATTTTACTTTTATAAGTTTTTACAAATATAAATAGAGACAATACATTTTTACTGTCGGAGATAAGCTTTTGCAGCTGTTGCAGTAAAACACATGACCGCGTAATTATATGTAATTGAATTCATTAAGATTCGTTTTTTAGGAGAGCACTGTACGCTATGAAACATATATGATAACGAACAGTATTCAAGATCAAAAATCCATAAAACAATATATGAGGAAATATGAGCGTTGGGTCAATCCGCTGTTAGAGGATAACACTTCACGGTTGTGGTTTGTCCCTCTGTGACCTTTTGACCTTGTTGCAGGGTGCTGTCGTTTAAGGCAGAAGTGCTGGTTTCCTTTGCAGTTCCTGTTTCCGGCCTGTGCGATCCCCGAACAAGTCCCCTGCATGGCCGCGTGTATCTTAGTTGTGTTCAAAGGAAAAAATATCGAGGTTAATAAATTTGAAACGGAAAGAGGGTAACTGAACAAAGTTTGTCTCCATCAGAAATAACGTAGAAATATTAAGAAATGGAGTATGTTCTGAGGAGAATTTTTTCTTCTCCTTGAATTTGTTTATTTTATTTGATTAATTTAATTGATTTATTTAATTAAATTAACATTATTTTGCACTTTGTGCTACTGAATCAAAAAATCCCCTGTTAGTCCCTGACATTTTCCCGTCTCTTCCTGACTTTATCCTATGACCCCCTTTCATTGTCTCTGACTCCCTGTATTTGTCACTAACTACCCTGTTCACTCCCTGTCGTCCCCTGTCGTTGTACCTGTCTATCTTCTCTACTCTCTGTCGTCCTCTGACATTTTCTGACCTCCATGTCCATTCCCTGTCGTCCACTGTCGTTCTCCCTGCCTATCCTGACTTCTCCCTGTCGTCTCCTGACATTTCTTTTGGCCACGAAAAAGGGTTTTAACACACATTTCTGTTGCAAATTAAGAGTGAGAAATGCCAATGTCATGAACATTCTCAAGTTTTGTAAAAATATAGACTTAGTAATAACTGAAGTTAACATTTTTATTTTTTTAAATACCTTACCTAAATTCAATGTATAGTTTGAAACTGGTACTCTCTTGCTAAGTATTGAGGTAAATTTGTAAGTTTTTGTGACATAAAAATAAGCTTTTTTGTAAATATATGAAATCGGCGGAGGTTTGGTGAAGTTGTGATACTGATGTAGAATTTCTAGAAACAGAATTGATTGATTTTTTCCTTTTAAATTGATTTATTTTTTGCTTTTTATTAAAATTTATATTTAAAATACGTTATATGTATTGTATGATGCAAATAACAGATAATTCTTTTTTAAATATAAATTACTTATATTTTCTAAATAGAAATGAAGTCAATTCAGCACGTGATTAATTTTATTTTGAAGCCTTTAATAAACTTACATCTTTTATGATGATAAATCAGTAAAGTACATTCGTGGATGTTACATGTAAGGGGGGATCATTGACTTTAATTGAGACGAAATAAATTAAATGTAAATAGCAATCTGGATATTATTTTGATGTGAAAAAAGTTGATAATGACATTAAAAAATATTAGCCATTAATTTTTCATAATGAATTAATAATCAATATTTAATCAAAGTATGTTCAAATGTTGTTACAGTTGACGAAAGCTATAAATCATTCAGAATTTCTTTGGAAGGGACTCACCCTTTAATTGCACAAATTTTGAAAATTTATGAACCTGAAGATCATTGAACATTTACGTAACGTTTGTAAGAAAGTATTGTAAGTTTTGTACAGAAGTGTTTTATGTTTAAAAAATACAATACTTTCTTTTAATCGTTACGCAAGTGTAAAATCGACCTACAAATTGGTTTTGTTTGAAAAAAAAGAGCCATTATTATTTTCACGTGTTCGTTTCAGCATCAAACAAACTATAATTAGCAAAGCTCTACTTTTTAAAAAAATACAAAGTGCGTTCTATATCATACTCAAAATGAAGATTAAAGAATTTAAACACAATATAGAATTTACGTTGGTTCCATTGATTTTGTAACTATTACAAAAAAAGATAGTGTAACAGATTATTTAACAAAATAGTCATGGACAACCATACTGCAAAAAGTAAAAAAAAAAATGATATTACAGTAACAACACACTTTGGTGAGGGTCAAATCATCATGTTCGAAGTAATTTCTTGCGGATTTTTTTTCACACATTTAAACAAGTATATTAAATCAGGATTTTATGAAACCCTACAATCCACCCTCACCAGGGAGTTTGTTTTAACTTAAATTGACCTGAAATGATATTTTTTCTAGTTTCATAACATATATCTATTAGTAAAATACATTAAGTTTGGATAATTAAAAATTATTCCATAATGAGTTAAATTAACTTCTGTCCGAGAAAAAGCATGCTGTTAAAGTTAAAAGTTTTTTTTTTATTATCTTGCTTTTCTTGTTTCTAGATCTCAGAAGAACAGTAAAAACACAGAAAAACAGAAAGGTCGTGACCTGAGAGCCCGGATGTGAATAACTATTTTTGCGCGGGACTCCCTTCCTGTCATATCGAGCGGTTTTGTTTCATTCTGTTGGGGGACTTTCGTGTTTGCAGGACGTTCACCTCAATCTGAGTAAATATACTTGTGCATAAAAACGTGAAAAATTGCAGATTAACTTGAAAGTTTGAAAATGAGATTCAAAACCCGAGGACCAAGGAGAGGGACTCTCCGAGGGAAAAATCGCATGTGAATTTTGTTACTTCAAAGGACAAACGAGGTAATAGAATACTTCTTAATTTTATTCGAAAACAAGTTCCATTGAGCGTTCAAGAGGTCCTTTCTTGACTGTCAGTGAATAAAATCGAAAATGATCCAAAACATAACGGAAAGCGAGCTGGTTCAGGAATGGCGGGAGTTCATGGCGCAGAAGAGCCTTCCACATGTGTCACTCTTGTTGATCTTCCTAATAGTAGGAATTGTGGGGAACTCCACTGTGATATATGTGTACGTTTTCAAAATGAGGCGATGTCGCGAGGACAGATTCTTTATTCCCGCCTTGGCGGTCGCCGACCTACTGGCGACCATTGTGACGTGTTTGTACCACAGCATCAAGACTCTTGTTGTCAAGAGCGTCCAATCTGACATACTCTGCAAAGTTCCATTGTTTTTCATGTGGAGCACTTCAACCGCTTCCGCAATGTTGTTACTGATGATTGCAATTCACCGTTTCATAAAAGTGCGCCAACAACCCGGAGATAAACTGAGTTCTAAACTGAAAAAAGGCGCGATTATTTTGACTGTCATAGTCTCAGTTGCTATAAATATCCCCATCCTGTATTTCGCGGGGATAGGAAACTTCAAGACGCCATACAATGGCTATAACATTACTGTCAGTGCCTGTTTCACAGGAAACTCTGATCACAAAGCTATGGAGCAGGCGTACTTGATTTTTGTCTTTCTGGTCGCAGTTGGCAACATCATTGCCACCACGGGTCTATACATACCCATCGGCTGCGTCATATACAAACTCTCCAAACAAAACAAGGGCATGGCGCGTGCAAGGTCTCGGAGCCGGGCGTTTTCGTTCGTGGGTGAGACTCAAAGCAGCATCAGTGACAACAGTGACAAGGAAAAGAAATTCCCCACCCTGAGCGAACTCGATAAAGTCAGACTAAACCGCCAAGAATCTCGGACACGGAACCGCACCAACTTCAACATGATGTTCGCCATTTTGGTTCTGTTTTACGCCGTGTCCTACTTCCCGTCTTTCATTTTCGTTTTCCTCAGCCGAGGAGATCCGAACTACTACAATCGACTCTCTCCAGTCCAATCCAATATCTACATAACTCTGCAGAGACTTTTCATTGTCAATCACATTGTGAACCCGCTGGTATACGGGTATTTTGATCTCAAATTCAGAAACAAGCTAGCCGACATTTGCTGCTTCAAAAAACTCAGGAAATACTGACGTTTTTACATGGCTTCATATTTTTATCATTAATTTATCTGATCGATGTATAACTTCATGTTTCAGATGCTTATTTATTTTAAATTAAAATTTTATCGTTGAATAAAATTATGACAAAACACATCTTTTCGTGAAATAATTTTTTTTTTCGGAAAGCTCGAAAAGCTGTTTTCTTTACATGCACCTCCATTCTTTCTACAAAGAAACATAAAAGTCTGTTGCTGACTACATGTAAATTCAATATAATAAAATTATGCGTTATAAAGATTAAAAAATAGAACAACCATATATTTTTTTAAAAATTCAATCCCATGATATCGTAAAATTCATGATGCTTAAAAATCTTAAGAAAATATCAACACGTCTGATTAACCTCAGTTTTTTTATGATAATATAACACTTATGTCCTTACAACGTGGAATTTTCTACGTGGAATTTTCTATTTTTGTTTTCATAGGAAGTTCTCAACAACTTCAAATTATTTTAAATTTGATTTTATGTCAGATTTATATATTATAGGTGATTGTTATCATACACTTAACATTTTTAAGGGCCACTTAAATCATTAAGAGGAAATCAAATCAAAAGTTTGATAATTTAAAGGATTTTAAAGCTTTTTCTTCCAAAATTTTCAAATAAAAACACCTGGCAGAGCCTAGATATTGACCACCTATAACAAAATCCTCTGAAGTGGTGTTGATCTTCTTCTTTCAAGTACAGTACCTCTGGATATGACATTACTTATGTTAATATAATTAGTTAAAGCGATCATTTTAAAACGTTCTAAATACACGGAGTCCCAATCTTTCATTTGGTGATATTATTACTAGCTCCGCATGACGTTACTTTTAAAATATGCTCAATTTGAAGCCAGTTTTGGAAGAAAATTTGTCTTATTGTCTACACTGATATAAAATTATAAGGAATATGAAGCTTATTTTAACCTATATTATATATTTAATAACCTACGATATTAAAAAAAAACAGCGATGTTGTTTATAAAAAAGCGTAAACTGCACCAAGTTATGTTGTATCGCATAACATAGTTAAAATAAGCTTCATTCCTTAATTGTGTCAAAGATAATGACAGAAATTGGAATAAATATATAAGGAAGATCTGAAAACTTTGTAAGAATGGATATTATGTTTTAGAAAAACAAGTATATAAGGAATTTGAAAGGCAACATACAGACCATTCATCCTTTGTTTTCACTAAATCGGATGCGATCCAAGAATTAAAAGACCTCATAAATAACATGTTACAGTTCAGCCGACAAGACTTGTGACAATGAAATATATCGAGATAAAGAACAGCCGCAAAAGTCAATTCAAACAAGACAAATAACAAGCAAAGCAAACGCATATCTCCAAAAATATCATGATTGGGTAATTACGGGAAAATTTGTATAGACAAATCAGCTTGTTAATAATTGCCCAACAATTACATTGTATAATGAAAAACGACAGTCTACATTTGACTTAATGATAGATTTCATTTGCTGATTAGGTCTTTGAAGTGACCAAAGAACTTACGAAATGAAGACTTTAAACGAGACTGGTAATATCCTTGTTTTGTCACCTAGTTTGGCAATAGCATACATCGTTTAAATAAATGTTCGTACGTAGAACATGCTCTTGTGTATCGAATCAACTGAGAGATATAAACCCGCATGCAGGGTACATTGCTGTATATGTACGGGAAAATGACGATCATTTCTCGAATACCGGTATCATATTGTTGCGCAGTACTTAAGAAAGAGGCTCGGCAGAACATTTACTGGAACCCGCTATGTATCTTTGTTTGTAAGGATTTTAAAGATTCTGAAGTTCTGGATTCCAATATAGATAATAATAATATGGTAATTCGAATTCAGATCGGTTTTTTAGAATGTAAAAAAATATTTAAAACTGTCCTATGATCATGATAAGAATTTACTCCTTAGAAAGGGGGCTATGGGTATAAATTGTTAATTGTAACCTAACAACCAAGTTATTTGATAAACGTGACGACTTTAACTTTTCTATCGTCAACTTCCCTTACTTGTGCAGCAATACACCTCCATCATTTGCGTACGGAGTGTATATATCTCAGTTGATTCTATACGCAAGAGCATGCTCTACGTATGAACAATTTCTAAAACGAGGTAAATTATTGACAAGCACGTTGATGATACAATAATATCAGCAGTATCGTCTAAAGCCATCATTTCGTAAGTTCTATGGTCGATACAATGACCTTGTCAGCAAATACAATTTATCATTGAATCAAATGCTGACTGACGTTTTTCATACCAATTGTTAGTCCATTATTTATACACTGAATTGACGACGGATTTTTCCGTTATTTCATGATCATGACAATGAGCACACGGCGGGTGTGACCGGTCAGCAGGGGATGCTCACTCCTCCATGGCACCTGATCCCACTTCTGATGTTTCGGAGGTCCGTGTTTGCTCTGCTCTTATTTTGTGTTGTTTTATGGACTTTGATGTTGAATACTGTTCGTTATCTCCATATCCTTCTTGGATAACCAGAAGAAGAACGTGAAAAGGAAGTTGGATTATGTTATTAAAAAGTTTGAAGCAAAGTCCATGTATATTTGTAGGAAATACATGGTCTGACACTTGAAATATGGTGGAATACAATTATACTGGACCCTTTTGTGATTAAGAATAATACATATATATTAACTGCGTCAATTCCTTAATTGGCATATTTAATATTATAAGTTTCAGGAAGTTGTATTAGCCGCATTTTCTTCTGTGGCGGTCTAAAAAGCGTATGATTTGAAATATCCATAACCGCAGATCCGAGACTATATTCTAGATCAAGGAATGAAAAACGGAATTTCCTTGACCTTTTCAAGCAGACTATTTAAAAGTTTCAAAGGAACAGAGTAAAGTTTGTTGCGAATGTGATGAAGACCTAACTAGTGATTTACAGGTAGTAATGAATCAAAAGAGACGCCATGTACATGTATGAAAGGTTTATTGTAAGTCCCAAGCCCAAGACTATACGTTTATGTCTCTCTGTATGGTTAAAAAGTCCAATTACAATGACATTGTTACACTGTGGACAGGAAAGATTTCAAACACTATCAACATCATCTTACATTTATAGGGAAAGACCGAATCTGAAGACTTTACATACGTGTCTGCCAAGTGGGATTAGGTGCCATGGAGTGAGCATCCCCTGGCAACCGGTTACACCCGCTAGTGCCCCTTATCATAATGAAAAAATATGGAGAAAAAAATCCATAGACATGAAACTTTACATGTACCCTGCTTTGTCATCTAGAACCAATATATATTCTGATCGTGTAATATATCTAATTTTATTTCACTTATGAATTATTGAACATAGAAGGATATATTGATTTCAAATCGTCCGTCAAGTGCTTAATGCGAAATTTTAACATATATTTGATACATTTACTCCATTCTGACAAATTGTTAAGGTCTTCTTTTTCATGTGTCGTCAATCACCTGGTGTAATCTTCAACAGATTTTATGATATTTATAGAATTATGACGCCAGTTGAAAGATAAGGGTTCACTACATTTTGACCCTTTTAAAATAAGTGATTTAAGGTCCTCATTACAAACTATATTTACGTAACCAGTCACAATGTTTTTTTCCCTTTTTTTAAATTTTCGTATAATTATAAGGTTTGGAAGCAAACGTTGATGTATATTTGTAAGAAATATATGGGTACTCATCATCTTGAAGCATGGTGAAATACAAAACTGGACCCTTTTATGATAAAGAATGTTATTTATATTAACCGCGTCAATTTCGTTGTTAGCTCTTGGTTCTGCTTTTGGAAATCCAAGTTACACTTCCAGTTCTTTTTCTAAATTTAAAATTATTCAAAGTCACATTTCAGTGCATGTAACTTTATTTAAAACTTGTAACATTCCAATCAATCAAGATGAATTCGATCGACCCTCAATATACTGGATTCCTAAACTTCATAAAAATACGTACAGGGATACATTGCAGGTCAAGAAATTGCTCATTCCTCCATGGTACCTGATCCCACCTCCGATGTTTTTGGGGTACGTGTTTGCTCTGCTCCTATTGTATTGTTTAATGGAGTTTTGATCTTGAATCCTGTTTGTTATCTCCATATGTTTCTCTCTACTAAGCCTCTAAACTTTCTCCTTACAAAATACTAACAAGCTAAAATATATCGACGACGTATCCAGGGTTTCTTGTTTTAAGGTATCCGACCCATATTAGGACCAAAATTTCTAATCTTAAATATCAATTATTTGTAAAATATCCTGATATCGTATTAAAGCATTTTATAGTAGAAAGGGATTTACCAAGTGAAATTTTCAAAAATTTTATTACCTAAGCAGAAATTACTTATTGAAGATTGCATTGAAGTCTATGGAAGGAAGTAAGTTTTTTAAGATAAAAAAAAGAAATACTTCAAATATCAAAAAATGCTGTGGTGGAAAGATATATTTGATCATTGGTAATAGAAAAACAATTAGAAATAATTTTTTTACCAGACAGATTTTAAAAAAATTAATTTTTATTAAGTAAAATCAAAGGGTAATAACTCGTCAAGGGCAGGAAAAGGTCATAAATTAGGACATGTCTCACTCTTACATTCTTACGCTAAAAGATGAAAATTAGTTCTAACTACACTGAGTATTCCATTGAATCTGAGGCTAATATGGATCGGATACCTTAAGCATACTTCACAGAAATAATATTGTTTATTAATGTTTTTTTTTAAATCGATTACTGTTCGTTATCTTGATGCCATAATATATCATAATTTTTAAATAAAACATGTATATAGAATGCTGAATCTTTAGCAGTAAAGTATTATCAATTTATTTGCTTTTCCCCTTCGGAAATTGGATTCTGGTATAAATTATACAAATTAATGGCAGCAAATACAAATTTTCTTTCCTCTCACTCTTTTTGACATAGAGTGTCCTGTAGCAGGAGAACTTAAATAATACTTTAAAGTGATCAACACCTAACTTCAGTACCAACCAAGACACAAAATGGAGAGGCAATGTAGCTTACAAATTTCAGATGGCGGAAATTGTGCATTATTGGAACGTCATCCCAGGTGCAAAATTGTGCAACAAAAATCCCAAA